ACCGCGGACGGGGGCGGGGCCTGAGCCGGCTGGGCGGGACCCAGGACCCGAGTGGGAACTAGGTGAGGTTGGGGGCTTGGCTGGAGACTCCCAGAGCGAATGTCTGAGGTGGAGGGGGGTCAGGAGTCCTCGGGAAGGGGCTTTCTTCTCCTGGCAGGGCTCAAAATCCCTCTCACCCATTAAGGGGTACCGCCTTTCGCCCCCACTTCTCTCACCCCAGGGTCTTTGTGGACTGAGGTGGTGGGCAGAGGAGAGGGCTTCTGCTCCCACCTTGAAGGGAGGGGCCCAGCCGGCGCCCTCGCCTCATTCATTTCCCTCCGTGGGGCACTTTTCTTCACTTCCCATCCTGCCACTTTCCGCCTCGTTCCAAAGAGTACTCTTTGTTTAAATGTTATGGACAAAGTTGTCTCGGCATAGTGCTGGGGATGTCTCTATGTCGTGAGAAATTATTCCTTGATTAAAAGGGAACACCCTCTACTCCCATCCCCAGGATTTCTCCCCACTTTTGATACTTGGGAACCCATTCCCAGTCTGCACCCATCTGTGAAATACTTTACAATAATGGAGCGGGGGAGGAGGGCATGGCTCTGAAGCTCTAACCCTAACCCTCCAGATCCTAAGGGGTAGCCTCCCATTTGGGACGCCTTAAAGACCACCCTCTCCAAATTCTAGAAGACGCAGTTCCTCACCCCCACCCCAGTCCCTTTTCATCCCTCATCTACTTGGTCAGGGAAGTTCGACTTGAGCTCTAGCTTTTGTCTTTTACGCTGCAGCCTTAGCCTCTTGCCCTGTTTTGGGTGAAAGGCCTGAGCTTTTTTAAGGTGGGAGAATGACTGACCTGGAGAGGAGGTTTTCCTCTCCCAGAGCGGAGAGGAGTGGGGTCCGGGTGGTGATAGCTGACGGGGACCCTCGTCACTCTTCCTCCAGGGGGAGCTCCTGAGCCCCTGCCGCTGCGACGGCTCCGTGCGCTGCACGCACCAGCCCTGCCTCATCCGCTGGATCAGCGAGAGGGGCTCCTGGAGCTGTGAGCTCTGCTACTTCAAGTATCAGGTCCTGGCGATCAGCACCAAGAACCCACTGCAGGTGAGGACTCTCGGATTGGAGCAAGGGCCTTTCAGCAGTCAGAATCAGGAACCCTCCAGGGAGCCTATTTCACCCATTTACTTACCCCTCCCCACCAGTGACCACAATTTCCTGTCTTTCTATAAGTCCTCCCTTCCTTCGTTTATTTACAAAGACATTATCGGGTGCCACCTGTATTCCAGGTACTGTTCTAGGCACTGGAACAACAAAAAAGAAAAAGATGATGATAATGTCAACGATGATGATAGCAAACGTAGTGTTTTCTTTGTGTCAGGCTCTTGGTGTGTATTAACTCTTTTAACCTTCATAATGATTCTATTAGTTATATACCATTATTAACCCTATTTTAAAGATTGATACACAAAAAGAGATTTGAAAACTTGCCCAAGGTTACTCAGCCAGGAAGTGATGGAGTTAGAATTTGGAATTCAAACCTACATGGTCTGGCTTCAGAGCACTTGCCTGATCCTGCCTTTCTAAACTCAGACAGACAAATAGTCTCAAACAACGGGAGCAGCGCCACAGTCTAGGTCTGATCATGGCACAGTGGAGACGGATGTTAATCCTGCCGGAGGGTTGCAGGAAGGTTCCTGGAACACCCTCCTCTTCAGGGCCACCCGTCCCCTGGCCCTCCATCTCTGTGACTTTTTGGAACCCTTTCTCCCATACAGTGGCAGGCCATCTCCCTGACGGTCATTGAGAAGGTCCAGATTGCGGCCATAGTTCTGGGCTCTCTCTTCCTTGTCGCCAGCATCTCCTGGCTCATCTGGTCCTCACTCAGCCCTTCAGCCAAGTGGCAACGACAGGATCTGCTGTTTCAGATCTGCTACGGCATGTATGGCTTCATGGATGTCGTCTGCATAGGTGAGAGCACCTCTCTCCCTTTTACCTGATGAGCAACTTCCTCCAACTCATACACTTAACTTTCTCTTCCCATTCCCTCAGCTTTATGGCCACATTTTCTTTCTTTTTTTTTTTAAATATACCTTTATTGATTTCAGAGAGAGGAAAGGAGAGGGAGAGAGAGAGAGATAGAAACATCAATGATGAGAGAGGCATTGATCGAGCCCGCAACCCGGGCATGTGCCCTGACCGGGAATCAAACCCCGATCGCCTGGATCCCAGGTCGACGCTCAACCGCTGAGCCACGCCCGGCCGGGCTATGGCCACGTTTTCTACCATTGAGAGCCTTTTGGGTTATCTTGGTGCCCCTTCTTTCCCAGCTTCCCCAGGCCCCTTGCAACCCTATTTTCTCCCTCTGGAAAATCTTGCTTAAGCACCTGTAGCCTACGTCTGGGCAGCAGTTGACCCTGGATATCTTATCCCTCTTGTCCAGGACTCATTGTCCACGAAGGCTCCTCTGTCTACCGCATCTTCAAGCGCTGGCAGGCAGTGAACCAGCAGTGGAAGGTCCTGAATTATGACAAGACGAAGGACATAGGAGGAGATGCAGGGGGAGGGACGGCAGGGAAGCCAGGCCCCAGGACCTCACGGACGGGCCCCCCCTCTGGGGCCACCAGCCGCCCCCCTGCTGCCCAGCGCATGCGGACGCTCTTGCCTCAGCGCTGTGGTTACACAATCCTGCACCTCCTTGGACAGCTGCGGCCACCAGATGCGCGTTCCAGTTCCCATTCTGGCCGAGAGGTTGTCATGAGAGTCACCACAGTCTGAACCGAACTCCAGGAGTGGGGATCTTGAGTCGATACATCAGCCAGAGATGAGCTGTCATGGCTGCTGGAGTTACCACCTGGACCAGATGTTTGGGGCACACTGCCCCCACCACTGAGGATCTCTGTGGACAGCCTCAAGCTGGAGACATTGTCTGGCTTCTACTGTCCACTGGGTAGAGACACTTGGATGACATTCCAGCCCTCACTGACGGCTCCCCACACTCATCCTGGGGCAGCCAGTGGGCAAGTGGGGAAAGCAGCTTTTCTTCCCCAGAGAACCGTCTTTACCTCAGCTCCTAGGGCCTCCAGCCCCTCAGCTCTACCACAGTGACTTGATGATGGGGGAACCAATGCCAGAAGAAAGGGGCTGTAGACCCCCCCCATTCCCCACCCCATGGCCACAGGGCAGCTGGCAATAAGACTAGTATACATTGACCTCCCGTTCCCTGCATGAGGGCGGGGGGTACTTCCCCTGCCCTGCCCCCCATTGCATGGGGGGAGGGCATAAAGAATCATTTATATGCACGTGGAGACTCCTTTCTCATCTGGGGCTTTTCTGGAGGGTTGGGAGGTGTGGGGAGGTTTCTCGGCAGAGGTTACAAATCCCAAATGCAACAGTGGGTTCTGAGTTGGAGGTGTAACTCCCACTTGCTGGTGAATAATTCATGGTGGCTGCTAGATGGCAGTGTTCAGAGGTATCTAAAGGGTGGACCTACCACCTCCAAGTTGTGTGTTTAGAAAAAAAAAATCCACTGTGGCTTTCCCATCTACCTCATGGGGTTGGAATGAGGATAAGGAAGGGACAGGCTGAACGCCACTGCAGAGGAAGTCAGTGATGGCATGAAAAGGTTTCTATGCTTGATGATGGTCCTTTTATTTCAAACAGTAGCAAATTTCAAAATGTGTTTTTCACCTGAAGTTGCGCAGAGCCTTGGAAATGTGTGTTGAGTGTCATAATAGATATGTAAATATGAGGGAAAATAGACATTGCAAGTGTGAAGGATGGCGGTTATTTGTAAGAATGAGAGCTCCTCTAACCACCTAAACAGGGGGGCAGGGGGAGGCTGGAGCTCTCCTTCTTGCTCTGGGGGTCGTTTGGATTCTTCTAGTCCTCAGGTAATGTGCTCACCCGGAGAAGGGACGTGAAGTGAACTTATTTGGAGATGGAAAGAATCCTTCCATGATATAAGTGTCCAGCTCTGGTTTAAGTTCCTTCTATGGTAGTTTAGGGCCATAGGCCTGATCCTGATGTGCCCCAGCTAGTGGTATTAACTGGAAGGTATTGTGCTTGGAGGCAGCAGCAGAGAGGGCAGTTGTCTATAGAGAAGAGGTTTGGGAAGGACTGGTTAAAATGTGGGTCAGCCTGAAGCCTTATCCCTTTCTCCTGAGGCCTTGGAGCTGTGTATTATATGAATGATTGGTGTCTTTTAGGTGAACTACTCATCAGCAATTAAATTAATTACTTCACACTTGGCTAAAGTCAGATCCAGAGGCCTTTCCTATTATTAGTCCTCTCAGGGAAGGTTCTGCTCTACCTTTTCCCTGGGGATGTTTTGAGGAAAATGCTTATCTACTAAAGATCACATATCCTTGCCTGGGTATTGGTTATCTTCTACTCCTTTCCAAAAGAGGGGCGGTGGGGAGGTGGGGGTCTTGGCTGCTCTCCATGGTGCTAGCACCCAGACTCTCCTGGGAGTGTAGATACCAGAGTTGGATTCAGATATGAGTCACCTGGAAGTGTGGAAGTGTATTATTTCCAGGGGTCAAAGTGGAGAGGGAACTGAGGCTGAGCCCCCCCCCCCCC